GGGCAGCCCCCTAACTCATGGACCCTTCTTGCTCTTGTCACCACACTGCCGTGCGGTGGGTATGGACATCTGTGTGCTGTCCCACAGAACCCTTGGCATGGTCTGCGCACCTGCCCCATTGGCGGGTGTGGATGTCAGTGTGCCCTGGCAAATGGGTGTCAGTGAAGGCTGCACCTTCCTTACAGGACCTGTGGCGGATCCGGAGCCCCTGTGGTAACTGTGAAGGCTTTGATGTGCACATCATGGATGACATGATTAAGGTAGGCAGGGCCACAGCTCCCACCTGCAGTGTCACACTCCCTACTCCCCCTCCAGTCCACATAGCCACAGGCTTCTAACAGGAATGTCTGGCTTCCATAGAGTGACTTAGGCTGGACAGTGCAGTCAGCGTGCATAGAGCTCCTCTGCTGGGGACAGTGAGGGCAGGTATATCCATTCTACTTGGTTCACCATGAGCACAAGCCTGAGAGCCATTGTGTCTCAAAGTCTGGAATTAGGCAATTCTCGTCCTGAGCTATAATCCCTGATTCAGAATTTTGGGCTAGGGCCCCTCGTCACCGGGCCACTGGAACTGCTCCTGCCAATGTCAGCAGCTTGTTCCCGGTTGAGACAGTCTCTAGAAGGTGGGGCATGGATATGGGAGGAGGGTCCTGCAGGGTTATTTGTACATAGTAGGGGATCAAGTCAGTCACGAGGGACTGCATCTCTGGGAACCCAGGGCAGTGATGAAAGTGCTAATGAAACTCAGCTCTGTGAGGATCAGCGTGAAGAGTCATGATGCAGCCCTGTGAGAAGGGCAGGGCAGGGAACACCATCCCATTTTTATACATTAATAGAATTTGCAAAAAAAAAATTCACACAGACAGAGGAAAAGGGGTGGAATACGGGACACCAAAATGGTAGCTGTGTGATTAGGAAGTGGTTAATGTTTTTCTCTTTTTGCTTATCTTTCTGCTTACATTTTTCTGTGGCGATTGTGGATTGTTTGTATAAACATTTTTTAAGTAAATAAATCCGTTCACTTGAAAAAAGGGACATTTTCATTTTGCATCTTACCTGCTTCTCCACAGCAGACCACTGACTGTTCCATGCTTTTAGAAATCTCCTTTGTGCCTAGTCACTGCACACTCCAGCTCCCTCTGGCCACTCCTCAGGCTCCTTCCTGGGCTCCTCCACCCCTTCGCATCCCTTAAGGTGTTGTGTTCTAGGTCTCCATGAGGCCCCTGCCCTGACTCTGCTCTCCCTGACTGTCCCTGTCCCCCATCTTTCCTGGCCAATGTCTTCATCTCTCCTGAGCTCAGATAAAATAGCTAAGAGTGGTGGTCCCTCTACTGAGATGTCCTCATGCACTCTGACCTGATGCTCCGAAGTCCCACCTGTTCTTCCCCCATCCCCAGCCTGGCCCCTTCCAGTGGTCCTGTCCTAGACCTGCCTCCACTTCATACCCGACTGCTGGGCTCAGGACCCCTGTGTCTTCCCAGACAAGTCCTTGCCTTCACGTGCAGTTGGTTATCAGGTTCCATAACCATCAGGTCCTCAGTGAACCAGTTTCTTCCCCTGTTGCTGCTGATCTGGTCTGGGCTACTTTCGTTTCTTGCCTATGACCACGTATCCTCCCTCTCCTGGTCAGCATTCCTCTACACAGAGCCCAAGTGAATCTGTAGATCCAAAGTCTAACCCTATGGGAAAACGCTGTAGGACTCCCTGACTCCCTGCCTCTACTCTTACAGTCCCCTGCTGCTTGGCCTGTCCTGGTCTGCTCTCCGTCCTCTCCCTGCTGGGCCTTTGTCCACTCTCCTCCTTCCTACAAATTCCTGTGTGACCTTCAGGAGGCAGCCCAGAGATGACCCCTCCAGCAGCTTTCCTGCGCAGCCCCATTTTCAGCCAGAGGTCATTGTCCCCCAGGCACTACAATCACTTGTCTCCCAGTTGTCTCCGTCTAGACTGAAAGCCTTGTGTGCACAGGCAGTTGTAGTGCTCAGTAAGGGTCACTGAGTAGGTGAGTGTCCAAATGGCAGGTGTTTTCACAAATACAGACATTTAGCCCTCAAGGTAGTTTGTGAGATGGGCAGTGTCATCCAGTTTTAAAAGGGAGAAAACAAAGCTAAGAGCGACTTGCCATGGAGATGGCTCCTGAGTCGTGGTGGGGAACAGAGAAGCCAGTTGGTCTGATCCAGGCACCCATGGACTTTTTGTGAGGACTCCCTGCCCCATGTGACTGTGGCAGTTACCCTGAGGGGGAGACGGGGACATGAGCCCCTTGTCCCATGGCTGCCAAGTTCTACCTCTGCAGACCCCTGCCTTCCCTTTTCTTCTCTTCTCAGTGTGCCCTGGACTTCAGGGAGAGCAAGGAGGCCGAGCCCCATCCGCTGTGGGAGTACCCATGCCACAGCCTCTCTGAGCCCCAGCAGATCCTGACCTTTGATTTTCTGCAGCCTGTTCCCCCACAGCCTATCCATGCTGAGGGCACCATTGAGCTGAGGAGGTGAGTGTAGGCTCCAGGGTGGGCGCGGTGGGGGAAGGGAGTGGCAGGGCTTGCTCTCTGTCTGGTAGTTACTACCCGAGTGCTTTGGCTGCTTTCATGTGACGGGATGGCTCTCCTTGTCTCTGCCTTGCCCTTTCTGATCTGAAGTGGCCCTGAGTGTACAGGAGTCTCCACAGCTTCTGGGTGGGGAGGGAGAGCCAGAATGGGCTTGCTCATCCTCCCACATCTGAGGCTCCCTGTGAGCTAAGTGGCATGTTACACACAGCTGCAGAGAAATGTGAATCTGGTTGCTATGGTTACCCATTGGACTGTATTCCTGAACTCTCCTGGGAATTGAAGCAGATTAGGAATTGGCAGGGGCTGCCATTGTGACGCATAGTCAGGCCCATCTAGCTCCAGCTTCAGCTCCCTTCAGGGGAGGAGCTGCTTCTTTCTGGAGAAAGAACCCATTTCTGACTGGGTGGTGACCATGAGCCCAGAGCTCCTTGGGGGCTCCTTTAACAAGGGGAAGGCAGGGCAGATATCCATCTGGGCCTGCCATTCAGGGTATCTGGGAGAAGTCTTCTAGCCTTTGATGCCCAGGCTGCGCTTTGAGCCTTCTGGACCAAACCTTTCCATGACCTCAGGCCGAGGAAGCTGGTCCTGCAGCCTGCTGGCCCTGCCCCATGGTTACTCTTGAGTGCTTGGCCAGGCTCTGAGGAGCCACTGGGGGCTTTGGGTTGTGGCTTTTCTTGCTCAGCATTTTACTGCATGGCCTTTAGTCAGGTGGTGTGTTAGGAGCCTCCTGACTCGGGGGGATGGAAGTGGGAGAGACCAGAGGTTTCTGGAAAGCAGAGGGGAGCCATGGCCACGCCCATCCACCTCTCGTGTGGCTGTTTCTTTTTGGCTCAATGTTCTCCCTCCCCCGCCCCCAGGCCTGGGAGGAGCCATGGGGCTGTCCTGTGGATGGAATACCACCTGACCCCGGACAGCACGGTCAGCACTGGCCTCCTGAAGCCTGCAGAGAACAAGGTAGTACTGTGTGCTGGGGTCCCAGCGTGGGCCGATCTGAGAGGAGGTGCTGCCATCACACCTGCCTGAGCTCTGGGTGTTCCTGGTGCATGTGGCTGGATAACTCTTCCGTGGCCCTAGGTCACCCGGCCCTGAGCAGCAGCTTCTCACTGAGAGCTGCCTGGGCTGGAGGCTGGCCAGGAAGGGGCTTGGGTGCCAGGAGCCCTCACCACCTTCTTACTGCTTCTCCTGCAGGGGGACTGTTGCTGGAACCCCCACTGCAAGCAGGCCGTGTACTTCTTCAACACCACACTGGACTCCAGAGCACCGCCGGACAGCCCACGGACTGTCAGCTACACTGTGGTATTCCACCCTGACACTGGAGATGTCACCATGGATTTTACGCTCTCAGATGCCCTCACTTGTTGAGAAATAAAGTGGCCAAGGGCTCCGGGCTTTGAATGGTGTGGCTTTCTGAGAAGGAAGGTGAAGGCACCTCTCCTTTCAGGGCCCAGCTTGGCCTCTGGGCTTGGAGGAAGTCTCTTCCCTTTTTGTGTTTTTGCACCGCCAGCTCCTTGCTCCAGATATGGCAGGAAGCAAGGGTTGCTTTGGAGCTGAGGAGGGGCCAAAGAGCCCACCCTGCAGTTGTTTTGAAATGCTCAGAAAGCTCCAAACTGTGAAAGCTCCTCCTGTCCTTCCTGGAAGGGAACAAAATCTGAGTTGGCTGGGCTGGTCAGGTTGGGGTGCTCTCAGCTGTGCAGTTCCAGGAGGGCGTGCTGCTCTTTTGGGAGCTAGCCTAGCCTGGCCTGCATTCTGGGAACCTCTGGGTCCCACCTGCCTGCTCCAGCTAGGGGGGCCCTCTAGGGGCAGAGATGCTGACTTGTGGCTGGGTCCCAGGCCTTGAAGACCCTGGCTTGACCAGGCTAAGGACCAGGTTCAGACCCTTTCACTTGCTAGGTAACAGCAAGCCACATTTGTATAGGTCTGGCCTCTGTGCAGCACCAGCAGGTGACTCAGATGGACACCTGGACACCAAGCTGCTGTTCAGAGGACAGGGTGGAGACTGTCCCAAAGCAGTTCCTGAGATGCAGACCCAGACACCAGCCATCAGGAGAAGGGAGCCAAGAGGTACAGCCCTTTCCTATGTGCCCCCTTTTCTAGCAGAGGAACTTCATCCCCTGGAAGCCTGGGTACAAGTGTGGTCATCCCAGCCCCGCCTTGCCTTGTCAGGATGGCCAGAGTCCCAAGGAGGCCCCAGCCTTGCTTCTCCCCACACTCAAGGTACCCTTCTGCTATTGGCTCCCAGTTCCAGAGGGAATGAGTAAGAGAACCCAAGTGGCCTGGTTTTCTGGTGGTTCAGGGCAGACACAGGCTGTGCCCATCCTGTTGGGGAGAGGCAGGAAAGGCAGACCCCACACAGCGGTCTCCCCACAGCCCCACCTGGCCACCCAGCCTCTTGGAGTCAGAGCAGGGCCCAGCCCCAGCTTCTCACTCAAATAAGTAGAGAACACCAGCCTTGAGCCTCACAGTTTTATTTTCTCATTATCCATCCTTCTTTTCAGCACCAGTAAAGGAAAAAAAAAACACCTTTCCTTTCAAAATATGTGTAAAGATTGTTTTTCTTCTAGGGAAGAATTGTCTGGATATATATTTGATAATGTTTTTACCAAAATCTTAGGTGTGCTTACCATATAAAACCCCTAATGTCCCATGAGGATACCATACAGAAAAAAAATACACAAATTAAAAAAGTGTTTTTTTTTCCTTTTTTAAAACAGTATTTCTAAATCTTAGCAAGTTAATACAACAGTTAAAAAGCATCAAGATTAATATCCATACTTAAAACTCAAGGTGGTTTGGACAAATGAAATGACTGTTTTCTTCCAAAGCTGACCCTTGCCTCCTGGCTTCTCTGGAGGCTGGGCCTGGGGCAGGTGTGGGGCCTTGGTTGGGGATTTAGGTGACCCCGTATCTGTCCCTCCCAGGCCTCAGTGCCACAGAGTCTGAGATCCTGGCAATGTGTCTTTTCTTTCTTTTTTTAAAAATTGAAATGGAAAAATCTGGCTTGTGCGCGACCCTGGGAGTCCACAGGCTTGATGGAACATGTGGCTGGGCAATGGTAGCCTCGGTGCTGAGACCGTGCCGGAGGGAGTGTCAGGGGAGTACGGTTGGGGGGAGCGCAGGCCAACTCTGCCCTGGACATCAGGCAGGCTGGGCAGAGGCAACCTTGTTAGGACAGGAAATGACTGAGGCACAGGAAGGTATGACTTGCCTAAGGCCACCCCATGAGTAGGGAGAGAAGCTTGTGCCCCTGTGCTTTGGCTCCCACCCAGCTGCCTTGGGAGGCAGGCGGCCCCTCTGAGGGATAGAAGCTGTGCTGGGGTTGCTCTGCTTCAGGAGCCCTGGCTCTGCCTCCACTGCTCTCCTGGATACACAGCTGACCCGCAGCCTGGGGCCTCAGCTTAGGCCCAGACATAGGCATGGTGCCTGCTCAGTTGAGCCCTACCTGTGAACAGATTGCTAGCTGCTCTGGGGAGTGGGGGGACCTCTGACCCAGTGAAGCCTAGCCAAGGCCCCAAAGCCATGGCCTTGGAGGAGGGGTGCAGCAGAGAGGCCAGGGAGGCCTGCACCCTAAGCGATGAGCAGCCCCTCCTGACTCAAGTTGGGGTGAGGCTGGGTGCCTAGCCAGGAAAATGTGCCAAGCAGTGAAGCCCTCAGCCTAGCTGCTACTCTGGCCAGGGGGTTCAGACAAACCAGCGCTGTCACAGGTGTGTCTCAGGAGTGTCCTGCCCCAGCACAGGGCCTGGCCTCTGGCTGGCTGTTTGGCCCCCTCTTGGTCCGTCTTGCAGCTCAGTAGGTGACAAGGCACAGCATCAGGGCACCGGCACCAGGAGGCTCCTGGCAGCAGGGTCCTGATGCACCCCCAGCCTCAGGAAAAATTGGCTTTGAGCCAGGCGGGCACATTGGTCAAGGTGCTGTGAGGAGGGGAGACCAGTCGGGGTTGCAAAGAACAGCCCCTGGAATTGGTGAGGCCTTGTACCTGAAAACAGGCAAAACCCTCACTGCTTACTTTGGGGGGCATCCCCAGGTGTGTTAAAAAGGCAGGTGGGCAGAGGCAGTGCTGCCGTGGGATGGGGAGCTATGGGCTTCACCTGCAGGGTCTGCCACACCATCATGCCTAGGTGCCCGGGGCTGGCCCTGGTCACATGGTGGTAGAGTGGACATCTATGTGCCTGTATGCCAACCAGTACCATTCCCTGTCCAGGGCAAGCAGGGGCCGTTGGCCTTGCCACCCCTGGCCTGCACACTGGTGCAGGGACAGGCTGCCCTGCACCTTGGCTTCCAGCACCTTCATCCAGGGTCCCCAGGGTTGCTGTTGAGGATGGGCCTGGGAGGGCTCTCTGGGGAGAGCCACAGCCCCACCCAGAGGCAGGTGGAAGGTTCCTGAGCTCAGCCAAGCACGTGGATGGGGACAGTCCCAGAGAGGGACTGGTCCTGAACCAGAGAGGTGTCTATAGGGGAGGTGGATCAGGCAGAAAGAAGAGGATGTGTTGGTTTTGACAGAAGAGAAGCTACAAATACATCACTTTCAAAATCAGAAGCCCCCAACCCCCCTTAGTTCCCCTTCTTCCTGTAAAAAAGTGACGTTCTCTCCCTAGATTCCTGTCTTTGGCTCCATTGCCCACACTGGAGTCTTGGAGGGAGGCTCCTGGCTCTGCTGTGTTGGGGAAAGGGAGCCTGCCAAGAGCAGCGTTCTCCCTCGTGGCTTGCAGACCCTCTCAAGTGAAGGGTTGTTTTTGTTCTTAACTTTTTCGTTTTTCTTTTTAAAATGTAATCGCCCTTGAATGCAAGACCCTGGGGAAGAGCCTGGGCTCGCTGGTAACTGGACACAGCCCTCATGGTCCCTGCTTGTGAGCTGTCCCAGCTGGAGGCAGCAAGCCAGTGGCCCTGTGTCCAGGAATGAATGCTTCTTTGGCTGGTTCTGATTGTGTTTGGAGTTTGGCCTTGGGTGAGGCCTGAGCAAGGGGTATGTGGCTGTGGCGTGGCATGTGGCATGCGGGCAGCGTGCATGCGAGGGTGCAGGCATGCGAGACAACATGGCAGCAGACAAAAGTAATGAACCCTGGACGAAGCTTGAGAAGAGATACAAAGAGTACAGAAACCCGGTTCTCATACTAACCCATGGGTTACAAACTAGGTTGTGCTGTAGATTTGTAGAAAATCACGTTTTGAAAGAATGGCACTGGTTGAGCAGCCTGGACTCCCTGGGCCGGCCTGACTCCTGTCCATGAGTGCCCAGAGGTGCCAGGCAGCGCTGGTTCCAGCTCACCCAGGACTGACCGTGGCTCTCCCGGGCCCCTGCCTGCCTCCCCCAGCACCAGCGGTGCTTGCTGGAGGGGACACAGCCAGGGAGGGACTGCAGTTCACAGGGCTGGCGGAGACCTCGCTGCTGTGATGACTTGGCCAGTCTATGCCTCCTCCTCCCCCGCAGACACCATCAGCCGCATGGCCACCGGGAGGTGGTCAGTCAGGCCCGACAGCTGGGTGATGAAACTGAATTCTTCTACCTCCTGTGAGAGTGAGGAGCGGGAGAGGAAGAAACATCCCAATTAGACCCAAAGGGCATCCTGTAAAGGAGGGGTCTGGCAGGGGTTGGGGCCCTAGGCTGGGGCTGGCCTGGACCTCCTGAAGGTAGAGGGGTGGGAGGACCTCTGGGTCCCAAAGGCCTCCCGGACTGGCAGGTCCCATTTCAGAGGAGAGCTCAGTGCTGCTAAGGGGTGCAGGGCACAGGGTCCCTATCTGTGGGCAGGGCCTGGGTGCCCTGCCCAGCCCAGCCCAGCCCTAGACTCACAGCCTTCCAGTCTGGGCACAGCCCCTCCTCTGCGTGCAGCATGTAGTCGATGCGCCTGCCGTTGCCTTTCAGCAGGTCCTTGCGTCCCTTCTGGCCTCCTGCAGGGCTCTTGCTGGTGGGGAAGGCGAGATACTCCCGGCGACCTTCCTCGCTCTCCAAAACCCTGCTCACACAGACAGAAGGCACAAGAAGGGAAGGTGAGCCCCACCCCCAGCCCTGACACCAGGTCCTGAGTGTGGAACCAGGTTCTCGCCCCCAAGAAAGACCAAAACCCTGTGTTTGAGATCTACCTTCCCCATGAGCCCAAAAAGGAATTGGGATGGAGGGAGACGGAGTCTGAGCCTGCGAGTTCCAGACTGAATTGAGCCACTCCAGGACAGCCTCATGTCCACCTTGGAAAGCCAGCACTCGCCTTCCCTTTCTGAACTAGGATGTTGGCACCACCCATAGCCTGTGACCAAGTTGGGGACAGAGTTTTCATCTCGTCTCCAGGATGGGGTTCTGCTCTGAGCTAATAGGGACCTGTTTTGGGGAACTTGGTCTTTACAGTGAACCTCAGGGACCTTTCTCTTCTGGAAGTCCCCAAACGGCCCCCTACCCCCTTACTCATGACTCCTGTTTCAAGTAGCAGTGGGGCAGGGTAGCCAGAAGAGCACCCAGGCCCCATCCCAGGGCTGGACTCCTATGTCATTCTGTCCCTGAGTGGCTGTGCCATCAAACCTGAGCCACCATTTCCTCTTCTAACACAAGAACAACTGCTGTGGCCCTAGGACGCTTCAGGGACCAGGTGTGCCAAGAAAGGAACAAGGTGGGATGCGGCTGTCGTTTCTCAGAGGAAGGTAACTGCTATTAGTGCTTAAATGCTGGTCAGGGTTCTTTCTATAGGGAGGGCAGGGCACTCAGGTGGAGCATTACACCCTGAATCTGGGTCTTCTGTCTCCTTGTCTGCCATCTGCTTCTTGTCAGGTTTCCTCCAGAGCCGGGACACCAGTGGGGAGGAGCCTTCAAGGGACCCCCCATCATGGAGGACTGGTTCAGGCCAGTGCCAAGGGTGAGAGGCACAGCCCCTGAGAGACACTGCACAGGCCCGCCCAGCCACCTAACGCCTGGACAAATGGACAGGGCACCTGGACAGGCACGGCCAGCAAATGTGGATTTCTACGAGGTCTTTATCAGCCTTGAGATAAATAACACTAATGACATGCAGAACATGGTTACATAGCAGAAATGTAATCCATTACTGTCCTTTGCCTTTGATAATTAATTACAGCATCAGTGATCTAAGAGCTACTGATAGTCATTTTTAAATCATCATCTCATAAAAAGGTAATTTTCTTGGCGTAGGATGATGTTTCAAATTTAGTCTGTAATCTAATTAATTGGCTCAAATTAGCTACAAGGAGCCATTGCCGTGACTCTGTGCAGTTTCGGGCTGTGAATTATAAATTGGCTCTGCTGCTGGCCTCTCAAATGTGTCCTTTATGGAAGTCTTGTTGGGTTCAAGAATGCAGTTTGACTGGAATAGAACTGTCTCTATTTTGAAAATGACTAGCTCGTGTTAGCTCTGTTCCTGTTTTTATTTGCCTAGTTGGTAACTACCGCAGACGGCATCCCGAGGGCTCTTCAACAGGGGTCTGCGCAGTACTTGGTCTCACCCTGGGAGATTCTGGTCCTTTTTTCTGTGCCCAAGGCAGGCTGGGTCTTGGGGCAGGACAAGCTCTTGTAGAGTGGGCCAGGCCTCTGGGTGCTGGTATAGGAAATGCCACCTCGAGACCCCAGGCCTACTCAGGTTTCTCCTTGGTAAGGATACTTCTGGGGTGTGAGGTCCACCACGGCCTTTGCCCCCCCTCAGCTTGCATCCCTGAGGCTCTCATAGTCGTCCTTCCATGGAGCTGTGTGCTCTCATCTGACCACAGAGCCCATCTCTCTGCACTTGAGTCCGGGCTCAGTGCTCCTCCCAGACCTAGGAGCCGCCTGGATCTGCCTACCCAACCTGATCACAGCAGCATGAGTGCTAGACACTTACTTTTGCAGATTGTCAGGGGTGCAAACTTCCTCATCATAGAGACCGTCCTTGTCCAACAGGGTACCTGGGGATAAGGGGATGAGAGTGGTCACTGTGGGCAGGGCCCAGCCAGCCTTGAAGAGAACCGCCTCTCTGGGGCAGGAAGGGTAGGCGAGAGTTTCTGCTGACCTGGTGGCTAAGTGCCCCCCAACCACTGCCCCCAGTAGTAGGGATTTAGGGACAGGTCCTAGAGGTCTCTCCGGTCTCTCCGGGAAGACTGTGCGGAGTCAGGCCTCAGCACAGTGGGTTCAGGCCTCAGCAGTCCCTTTGCCTTCCTGCCCCAGCCCCTGGCCCCAGCCCCAGCTCCAGCTCACCAATTGCCCACGGCTTCTCCTCCCCAGGTCCCAGGCGGCAGGGGTCCTTGTAGCGTGTAAACAGGGAGTGCTGCTGCTCCAGCTTGTCATCTGTGCAGGGAGGGAGGGAGGGAAGGGATGGCTAGTGGGCCTCGTGGGTATCTGGCCTGTCCTAGAGGGCCGCCTGCCTCTCTGAGCTGCC